TGGTCAGTAGGAACATTTTCACAACTTCCGTGCGAGCTACAAGGAAATATTGGCCTTAGATTGATCCACACAAAATTCATTCCTCACCAAATCTCTCACTTGGTTAAAACAAAAATTTTCCAAAATAATTACTTGAAAACATAGAAATTCAAAACTCAATTTTGAAAACCATGATGCAGGTAATTTCATCCAATATACCAATACACATAATCATGTCAAACTCAATTCCCAGTTTAAGTCATTATGGGGCACTCCCCTCCTTAGGAGTGTTTAACCTCCCATAGGGTATAGTACGCCATAACAGCAAAAAGAGGGAACCGGGCTCTGATACCAAACTGTAACACCCTACCCTATACGTTTTGCCTAATCATATTGTTCATACAATTGCAGCGGAAATAATCTCGGGTGTTACATTAATTATCAAAATTTACCTAAATAAAATTTCGACATGAATTACTCGCGTAATGGGCTAACAGTTCTTGCAACTTAACCTGCAAAATAATTCATCACAAACATATATACTCACAACCATATGCATTGGCTTTTCTTAGCCATAGTCACACTTTTCATACTTCCTAACTGCATACCATACTTATACATACCATAATCGTCACAACTTACACAGTTACACAACATATACACATATCATTAACTTTCCACACCTGTGGATATCTCACACTAGATCAGAAGCTAGTATGCACATGAAAAACGTTCTCAAAACATTCTTTTACAAAAAGGTGTGGATCACTGGCCAAAATCCCGAGTAGTAGTCCAAGCACATAATAGTTGAAGACCATACCTCATCCTGGCTTCAACTCTAGCTCCTCTCCCACCTAACACTTATCTACTGCTGCTGCTGATGATCTGCTTACACATAGCATAAGCATAGAAGAAGAATAAAAGAGGGTCAGCTCATAGCTGAGTGAGATAATCATAGCATCGTGAGTTCATAACAGAGCATACCCCTACCATACATCTAGCAAACGAGCCAAAACACTAGGATCGGACCTCAGCCATCCTCATATCCCAATAAGCAAAAGACTCAACTACTTTGACTTATGCATATGCATCTTATCATGTTTTAATCATAGGCGCCTGGCTACTCCCATGCTAATAACTCTCCCGGGAAACATACCCCACATCCCGTCGGATGTAGTCATACATACCCCAACATCCCGTCGGATGTGGTCATACATACCCCACACCACTATGGGTGTAGTCATACCCCGACACCGCTCTGGGTGTGGTCATATCTCATAAGAATTCTTCAGTCACCACCAAATGAGAGGTGTGACTATCATACATATCATAATAGAGTAATAGCATAGGGAGCCCTAATTACTATGTAGTTGACCGTGAGACCACCACACTCATTATTGGTATCCTTATACATGATTCATATCTCATCTTGCTTAATCATAATTCATTACTTGCACATGTACTTGACCTGGCCACAATTGGCTCAACATAGGTAAATCAGGAGTCGTATAATTGCATTTCCTCGGGATAAACCCTCGTGCAAGTCATCCTCCTTAAACATCATAATATCACCCTGGGAAGTTTATTTTCCCCACTTGTGAATCCAAAAACAACCACAAAATCACATCATGTCAAAAACCCTTATCGAACAACCATAAAGTCATATCAACAGTTAAGCCACAAATGGCAACATGTAGGCAATCATCCACATAAACAAGGTTCATATCGATTAGGGCAAGTCAATAATATCATACAGTAGTCCAGGGTTCATCATATAGCACAAAAGTCCATACACCCCTAATCATGCCATTCTAGTTCACCTAGGTCAATTCTAAGCATCAATATAATTATCGTGATACGACAAACCCGGTATGCCGTGCTAATCCCTCACCAGTTCTGGTCGTTGAAACACCGGTTCTAGCCTCCCGTACTAAAACATCAATTTCACGAACGAACCCCGAATTAAAATCCGAGACCGTCCTAATATCCCCTGCAGTATCCCCATCAATATTAGTTCTGGGCTCCGTGTCAAATTCTCGATAAAAACACATCAAACCCTGGCCGGAGCTAAATTCAGCGGTTTGGACCCCGGCCTAAATAATAGCCGAAATTCAGGGATTAGAACTAGAGGATTGATTACCTCGCTGCAGGAAGCTCGTATATGAAATTTGGGCTCAATCCGGCTTCCGGATACTCCGAAACCCTAATTTGGCTTATCGGGAATTCGAGAAATTCCTGAATCAAAAACTCGTTTTAAAGCTCTAAATCGATAAATCACGATGAATGGATGGATTAGGCATTACTTACGGGATTTTTGGATCAGTGTAGCTCAAGAATCGAGCTAAGGAAATTTTCCCCGAGCTCCCCTGTGCGCGACTGTTGTCGCTCTGCTTTGTTTTGATTATCTCGGTGGAAATGAGAAAACGATGGTGATAATGGACGAGTGGGGGGGGAGAGATTAATATATATGCGGCCGCTTAATTAATATATATATATATATATATAATTAATACGTATACTTATCCGATCGATCGATAATCCGATTTTCGCCGAAATACTGTTAAAACGCTCGATTTTAAATCGCGAACTTTCTAGCGATCGAAATACGATTTTAGTCGAAACGGGATGTTACAGGGTGAATATGAGGTAAAGACTGGCTGCCATCTTTCTTTTCCGCTTGCTCACTCTGTTCTATGCAAGGTTCGGGTTGATGTTATGGATCGTCAGGTTTGGACTTGGCTTTGGAACTTAAAAGTGCCACCCAAACTTATTTTGTTCTTACGGTAATGCTTGCATCACATCTTACAGACGCGTGAGGCTTTGGATATTCATGGATTGGATCTGAGTCCAGTCTGCTCCTTCTGTAATCGTCGACTTGAATCCATTGAACTTTTTTTTTTCAAATGTCTACTTGCTCGATGATTTTTTAGGGCAATTGGTCTCTCTCATGAGCTATCGAATTGGTCAACTGTTTCTTTTGTTGTCTTTCCCCGTTCGGATTTGTTTGCTATGGAAGGAATTGATTTGGAGTACAGGCTGCTGCAAGTTATTTGCGGGCTTTGGCGTTTATGGAAAAATCAATGCTCAGTGGTTTTCGACTATGTCCTGCTCCAACCTTCAACGCTGGCGTGGCAATGGAGTCATCAAGTAGAGAAATATGACAAGGATGTATAGTGGCCACCGCAATCAACAGCTACGCCACAGTACAATCTCACCACTCTTCTCGTTTAGTCATAGCCGCCACATGTTTTTAAAGCTACTTTTGATGTGGCTACTTCAGGGGACAAGAAAGGGTCGGCTGCTTGTGTTCTTTTTTCTGCATGTGGAAGCATCCTTCATGCCGTAGTGAATCGTTATGATGGCATATCTTATGCCTTTGTTTTGGAAGCATTGGTGTTGAGGGATTGTTTGGCTTATTGTACAGAGCGCAACAATCCACGATGCACTTGTTCAGGGGATGCTAAAACGGTGATTGATCGATGCTGCAGCAATGATCTTTCTCATGTTCAGGCGGGGACAATTCTGCAGGAAATTGTTGGGTACTTGATGTCTCAATTGGGGTTTTGGGTGATGTTCATAGGACGTGTTCGTAATAGAGTGGCTCATTTAATGGCCCGTAAGGCTTTGTTTTTGTCGCCTTGCTTGTTGCAGAGGTTCGACTATGTTACTTGGGTTACTAGCCAATACGCTAGGTGTATTCGTACTCTATCCTATGTGATGGATGTTTTATCTCTCTAAACAAGAGATCTAATGGAATAAAGGTAAATACAATATATTAGCCAGAACTAATCACAAGTGCAAAATAATAGCCACAACTATCAAAATACAAATTATTAGCCATAACTATTGTTGTGGGTCAAGATATGGTTAACAGTCCTTTACCGCTTTAATTTCATAACAAAGACTGCCACATCAGTCCGGATTTTACCGATATCAACATTCTCGCCAACGCCTATTGCATTTTGATGGAAAAGGGACCTGGCAGTTCACTTATGGCCATGTCATCTTCCACGTAAGATTACTTTTCATTTATAATTTTAAAACAAAAAAAAATAAAAACATATCCCCTCGTTTCTTCTCCCCTTCCTCTTCTTCCTCCTACGCCACCACAGACCCTCCAACGCCACCAGAAACTTCGTCGGAGGGACAACTCCCATCTCTTCAGTCTTCCCTAGCCAATTGCGCCCCCCACTCTCACAATGACCAGCTCTGGTCGCCCTAATTTTTGTCGGCAATTTCAACTTCCTCTTCAAATCTCCCCAGTTCATCGACCGAGGTAGAGGCGGAAGTTTTGTCACCGAACGCGTTTCCTTCGCTTGAGTAGGCGTCGATTGGGGAGTTATGGTCTTGGTCTCGGGACATCAAAATCCATGCCCGACTAATCCTTGGCGATACTTTTGACAGATGGGGTAGATCTGGAGAATGGAGAGAGAAGCAGAAGCGGTGCGGTGGAGGCGGGTTGGAGTTGGATATGGTGTGCTGGGTTCAAGGGAGAAAATGCAATTGCACTGCTAATATAAGAGGGTTTAGCATCGCTTCTGTCTTGAGTTGGATCTATAATTGATCTTCGATTGGGTGAGCACTCTAGATTCGATCGAACAAAAAGACAGAGCTTGCTTCGGCTATTCTGGGAAGGATCAACTTTGGAGGTTATGAAATTTCATTGTTGGAATTGGGGGTTTGTTTCCTTAACTAAATTAGGTGGTTAAGATAGTCGCTACTTCTCCTCAAAATTAAGTTATGAAATTGGAATTTGGGAAACTTATGTGGTAAATGAAGGGAAGAAGAAGAAGAAAAGATGGAGGGGAGAAGAAACGATTGATCAACTATTATTTTTGTTTTAATTTTTAAAAATAATTAATTAATTAATAAATTGGTATAGTTCACTGGGTGATGTGCATTTTTGTTGACTGTCACATCAGAATGTCTCTTACACGTTAGTATAACATATGCCAGCTCACCATCATCTATGGCTATTATTTTGTAATTTATAAAAAAAAAATTAGTAAACCCAGGTTGCTGACCTGCGTGACCCACGGCCCCCACACGTCAGCTCCCGGGGCCCGACGAAGAGGGACCGTACAGTTGTAACGGATTGTACGGACAGCCCCACGCCCACAATAAGCCTTCCCCCAACGGCAATACCACACCTTAGCGGCTTCCCGCGAAAACCCGCCGCTGCTGCGGCGATTATTATACCTTAATTCTCTCTCAAATCAATCCTAATCCAATCGTATTATTATTAAGTTTTTAACTTTTCTCTTCGTTTTAACTTTTAATAATTAATCATCTGCTCAATCCTCCGATCCGTTCCCCCCTTTGTTTCTCCTATTCGTTTCGCGAGATCCGGCGGCGGATGATGAGCAGGGGCGGCGGAGGAGGAATTTGAACGAGAGAGAATCATCAGAAACCGCGTGCGTGGTGGTCGTCTGCGTAACGATGAAAGGACTCTTCAAAGCCAGGAGCCGGACACCGGTGGAGCTCGTCCAACACCTCCGGGAACTCATCCTCTTCGCCCACCGCGATCCTTCCGACATCCCCAAAAAAAAGCGCGAAGACAAGGTAAGGTTCCTCTCTCTCCCTCGTTTTCCTGCACCAATTGAAACGTTTCGATTCTGTTATACCATTGCAATTGCAAACGTGATGATCCAGAATTGCATTAGGATTGAGAGATTACAATTATGAGAATTAAGGTGTATAATCGAAGCTATGATACAGAATTGTATTAGGAATGAGGGATTATAATTAGGAATGATGATGACGTGCATAAAATTATAGTACAATCCAACGACAATGTGTTTGTACGTAGTTAGTCAGGATGATAGCCTCCTTGGCTCCTTCCTCTTCTAATTTGATTCACAAGGATGCGCGGCAACTGCAAGTAGTGAATAAGAAGGTGTGTGTGTGTGTGTGTGTGTTTGTTTGAGCAGATGGCAGAGCTGGGGAAAGTTCTAGTGGAGATAAGGACTATACTGTTCGGTGAAGGGCAATCGGAGCCAAATGCTGAGGCTTGCTCACAATTGACCCAGGAGTTCTTTCGAGAGGACACACTGCGTATCCTCATTGTCTGCATCCCTAAACTCGACCTCGGGGTGGGTAACTATACCTGTTTTGTAACGATTGTTTCCTTCTGAGAAAAGAGCTGATATGCGTTTCCCTTTGAAAAAACAAAAAAATGGTTTGCAGTCTCGTCAGATTGCGGCCCGTGTAATTTCCAACTTGCAGAAGCAGAAGGTGCAAGGGAGGCTGGTGGCTCCGCAGTACATGGAGAGCAATTTGGATCTTTTGGACATTTTGCTACCTGGGTAAACCTCTTTAATATCGGTATCTACGAACTAGTTTGCGTGGTTGTTTTTTGGTTTAGAAAAGCAAAATGTGTCTTTTCCATTCGCAGTTATGCAGATGATGAGATAGCAGTGCCTTATGGGATCATCGCAAGAGAGCTAATATGCCATCAGGTGGTAGCAAAGTAAGCTGCAGCATTCCCAGAAATATACATATATTATTTGATTTGATTAGCCGAATTGTATATGTTGATGATTTCTGAGTTTGTCTTTCAGGTATGTCCTGGAATCAGAGCACATGCGCAATTTCTTTGAATACATTCAGATTGAGACTTTTGAAATCTCATCCGATGCTCAAGCCACTTTCAAGGTTACGTATTTGACATCAAGGATCAACTTCTCCCTGTCATGTATAGCTTATCCAACCATAACTGCGTTTAACCTTTTCTTTCATGACTGACATTTTTATACTGTCACATATACAAAATTCATTGTAGGAACTTCTCACAAGGCATAAATCAACCGTTTCTGAATTTCTAACCAACAATTTCGACTGGGTACGTACGTAATTATGCTCCAACCCTTCATGTTTGAGGAGTTCGGTTAAGGAACTGAAAGAGGGAGGTGGTACGTAATTATTCGAACTAAGTTGGTCACTAACTACCAATCACGTCTCTGCAAATTTCTTTACCCTTTCAGTTCTTCGTGGAATACAATTCAAAGTTGCTTGAGTCGGATAAATACATAACCAGAAGGCATGCTGTCAAGGTATCCATTTTCCGACCCCTCTGTGTATACTGACTATGGAGAATGACAAATCACTGCAACAAAACTTGCACTGTTCCTACTTTCATGTGATCCCTTTTTACTTGCTCTTGTTCACTCAGCTTCTGGGAGATATGCTGCTTGATCGATCAAATGCGGCGGTGATGGTTCGATATGTGAGCTCACTGGATAACCTGAGAATAATGATGAACCTTTTCAGAGTAAGATTCTCGCTCTCTCTCTCTCTCTCTCTCTCTCTCTCTCTCTCTCTCTCTCTCTCTCTCTCTCTCTCTCTCTGTGCAATCTTTCGTATTCTAAATGTGATGATGCACCAACTCTTTTTCTTGTTACTGGGCAGGAAGAAAAGAAGTCCATACAGATGGAAGCTTTCCATGTCTTCAAGGTATAGTTTTCAAATTTGATGGATGACACATTGATGCTTTTGTTTATAGGCACCATTGACACCGTCCCTCCATTTGATTCTACGTTAATTTGACTGAGTCAGCAATGCCAAATAGGACTGTTATGTGACAAAAATAAATCAATCAGCATTCTATAACTCGACCAAATCTTCGAGTTGGGTGTGTGAGGTGTTGACTGGCCGATTTTTGTGGTAATAATACAAACGTTTGTTTGGCATGCTCCAATCAACTTACGGCTCAGTGGATTGTTTTATTGCCAGCTCACTTGGTTTAGTTAGCATTCTGGTTCATTTTTTTCCCTTTCAGTTTAATGACTGTTTTGCTACAATCTCTATACTCTTTAATGTTTCTCAGCTGTTTGTGGCAAACCAAAGCAAGCCTCCTGCGATCGTCGGTGTGCTGATTCAGAACAAGAACAAGCTTCTCAGGTTCTTAGCTGGTTTAACAACTGAGAAAGGTATGCAATTTTACTCTTGTCAATCTAAGCAGTCCAGCTCTTACTTGCATTGCTTTGAAAATCGACCATCTAAGCAGTCCATCTTTAGCTTCTTAATCATTGTACATTGTTTGTTTTGCAGAGGATGAACAGTTTGAGGCAGACAAATCTGAAGTGATTAGGGAGATTGCGACCTTAGACACCAGAGAACGTTCAATTACTGATTCAGATAATGAGGCTGAATCCTAAATACATGATGTGGAAACTGGATGATAATTTATCTTTCTTTCTAGGACTTGTCTTAATTATCTGTTCGTTTTCTCCTTTTTTTCCTTTTCCTTGAATTGGCTTTTGTATTTTACAACATCACTGTAAAGAACACAGCTCACAACAGCAGATAGTGCTTGTATGAAGAGTACAACAACACAGCATTTTGTTTCAGTTTTCCCTTTTATCAGTCAAGTGAAACTCCCATGTCTTGTATTCTACTTGTTTCTGATCCAATTTATATTAAAATAGACGAAATACGTGAATTAATGATTTATCGTCACAAATGACCGACTCATTGTCAGAAGAATGTTTTACGTGTCGGAGCATCAAGTGGGAAGGTTCGAGGTCGATCTTTATTAGAGGTACGTGCAACAAATTCACGTCACTAGAAGTACATTTCCATGTATATTCTGGGTTCCTAACTAGAGTGTGATTACACACCTCTCGAATCACGTATGGATGTTCATTTTCCTCTTGCTTTGCGTTTCTATAATCCAAATATATATACATATAGCAGAGAAGAGAAGAGAAGAGAAGAGAGGCATGGTAATTAGTAGAAAGAATCACATACAAAACAAATGGTCTCAATATACTAAGTGACAAGATCTAAACTATAGAGTACTCTCTACAAACCATCAAGTCCCTCCAAAACAAGCCCTTCCCACTGCAGTGTATAAGCACTAAACTCACAAGGAGATACCCAAAAGAGAGAGAACTTAAATTAAAAATGTAGAGAGAGAAAAAAAAATACACACTAATGGGGAGGGGCAGTAAATGAATCGTTCTCAAGAATTGAAAAGGAAGAATCTTCAAGCATTCTGCTGTGTCCTGTGACCATATCCAGTGCCTCCATTGGCATACTTATCAGCAGAGCCAACAGCCCGCTTCCTCTTGATGACAATGAGCCAAGTGAGAGCTTCCCACACCAGAGCAATGACTCCCAACGAGATGATAATGCCGGTGTACGCGCTCTTCCACTTCTTCTCTGGGTTGAGGATGTCGAATCCCTCATAGATGTTGGTGATGCTGAGGGCAATCGTCGCATACCCGATCGCATAATGGTAGAAGTTCCAGTACACTCTGTACTTGTGGTCTGGCTTTGGCCGTAACAGCAAGGCAAACATCTGGTTTCATAAAACAAGAAGATATTTCATTACATTAGTATCTTGTTCATTACAATGAGATGGGACAATCATGTGACGTGAGCTTTAAGTCTTCATGTGAGGTGACGAGGATATATATATATATATATATATATATATATATATACACACACAAGTGTAGAATCCCCATTTTATCCTTTCATTTGAAGTGTACACGTAATGATTTTCACATGCGGAGGAGGCAAGTGGGGTTTGCTTCTCTTCAACGATACGTGCATTTTGCTTAGGTTAGGAAAAGTCAAGACATCGCAATGGAAGGTTCATTCAGGAAAACAAATGTTGACCTTTTTCAGGCATGTGCTAGAAAATTCAAACCAAGAACCGGTTGCTGTTACCATCCATAACAACACCAATGCACCAACCCCATCAGAAGATTGGACGGAAGGCAAAGACGAAATAAATGGTCGATGGTAGAGGAACACATTCGTATGCTAGATACCAATTCAAACCGGTTTTGATAACAGCAGCAGTAATGGCACCAAATCCAACAAAGAAAATTTTGAAAAGGATTAGACTTTTAGTTATGTTTACCTGAAGGGTGCCAAAGCAGAAGAGGGTGATTCCAATGTTCCTGTGCTTGTTGTACTGAATTCCAACACTGTCACTGCCGAGTTTGAGTCCCGTTCCCCAGCCAGCAACACCAATGATGTAGGCAGACAATTGGCAGGCAACATGGAGGTAGAACCATGCTGGGTTTGCTACCTGGAACACCTTCACGTACCTTGCTATCATGGCCCCGCAAGGCATCAGAATTCCCCAACTCACTGCATTCAGAACTCCATGAATCTGCACAAGAAAGATGGAACAGAAGAGGTTAACCTTCAATTCTAAGCAAACTAGAATCCGTATGTTTGTTAGAGCTTGAAACTTTTCCTAGGTTAGGTAGCACCCTGACGACTCGGAATCCTCCACCGCAAGGACCAAATAGGAAACTTTTTTTCTAAGACAAGTTGAATTTCTCGACCTCAAAGATATTTACATAATCTTTTCAGTGTTCGTAGTACCATATTGGAGACTGAAACAGTGAAGACCTCGAAAACTGTCAAAGTCCTCGGACCTTGAAGATCAAATATGCGAGTGTTTTATTGTTTGTGAAAACATATCGAAAATCGAACCAGCAAAGCAAATGGCTTCAGATCAACCGACAAAACCATACTAAAATTGTTACCAATATAATCACAAACACGGATTTTTCCAAGTGACCCCTAAACTTTAAAAACCATCCGTCGCAAGGCTCAAGTACCCAAGTTGGACAATTTCAAAATGCTTAACACAACAGACAAATCAAACCCTAATCATCAAACTAAACTTGACTCAGACACAAGATTAGGGGGAAAGTGGGTGAAATTTTCTCAATATACTTACATTCCTCTTGCGGAGTCTTGAGTTACTGGCACCACCACCGGCAGTGGAAGCACCAGTCTGGAAATTGATAGTCCCAATCGACCTAACATTATCCCCAGTAGTAGAATGCATTGAAGGAGTCCCACTGGCCAAGGGCCCCTCTTGCCAAACCTGATTGGTTGACAACAAATTGGCATCCAGATGCAAAGTAGCAAAGATTAAAGTCTCCCCATTACTATGCTGAGCTCTGAGGTTAGAAACTCTAAAGCTCAAGCTCCCTGGTCTCATGGAAGGACCCAAGGAGTCGATCGAAGTGGTGTAAGCAGTCATGGAACCATTAGCCTGCTGGAAAGCGACCAAAGCTTGGGAGCCAACCATTCGGCCTCCACTAGGGTTCAGAGCCCAACAAACCCAGTTGGTGGGTGAAGTTCCAGTCTTTCTGAAGGCTATATCAGCGGTGGAGTTGTCTTGGTGAAATGTCCAGTGGAGATATGAGCTGAGAACTGGCAGATCTACGCAGGTTGAGTAGACTTGGTTGCTTGGTAAGGCCAAGCCGTTGCAGGTTTGGGCTTGAGACGGCGAGGTGAAGAAGGAAAGGAAGAGGAGGAACCCAGTAATGATCAGAGCTCCAAGTGACTTCCCCATGGCCGGAAATTAGGGGAAAGGTTCGATCTTTATGTAAGAGACTACTGAAATTGGGATTTCTAAGAAATGGGTTCTGCCCAACTTTTCGCTCTGTTTGTGTTCTTTTGAGTGGCTCTCTCTCTCCCCAAAGGAATTGAGAGGGTATTGTGAGATTGAGATGAGAGGCGGAAAGGGGAATCAAAGGGGATTTTATAAAGGGTAGATTGTTTCCGTTTTTCTTCTTTTTGGAAATCCGGAAGTGGAGAGGAAATAGAAGTGGAATGCGATGTCTTACTTGTTTGCTGCCGAGTTGTATGAATTTGTGTGTGTGGGGGGGGGGGGGGGGGGGGGGGGGGGGGAAGCTGGAAAGGTCAAGGGAAGAAATTTTGCAGAGCGGGTCGTATTTTCTTTTCCCGTTTTTTTGTACTACGAAAAGAGAAAAGGAGAGTTGTGGGTTGTTGACTGGTTCTACGTGTGAAGTTGGTTTGTAATTACTATAGTGTCTGTTCTTCTTGTTTCTCTTTTAGCGAGAGATTAATTAAACAAGTTTTCAATTCGCTTTTTTTGTTAATCAAAAGAAGAAAGAAATGTGTTAAATGCTGCAGTATGTGATAGATAACGTGTGCCTGCCATGGGGATGGGATCATCTTGTGTAGCAATCTTGGTAAACTCGAACAAAATTGGGTGTTAGGTATGAAGAGCAAAGGAAATAGAGTCGAGATTGGCTCTCGAAATATAATCTCACGCAGCGCTTGCGTCCATTATTTTGGAGGACATAAGAGGGATCATCCATTCATGGTAGATCACAATTAGCAATTAAATAGGGGCTCCCCATTGTATTAACCTTCATGTTTTTTTAGCTATGTTCTTTTGTTGTCTTCGGCCATAGGTTAGCCGTTTCTTTTGGAAAATCGGGCCAGGTTTTGTTCTGACAAAATTATGTAGATAGCTTTGTAATTCGGCTAAGTGATTCAGCCTCAAATAAATAAGTAAATAAATAACTTATTCCGTGCATTTCATTAATATTTTCTCTCTCCCTGGATCTCATTATTTGCTTGCCTGTGAAGAGAAATTTTACCATACTTCATAGTTTACATGAAGAAATTTTTGTGGTATAAACTGAACTTGTACTTTTAGCATTATAATACAAATCTTGTTCATGAAAGAGGAAGAGAAATTTGGGAAGGAAATGAAATTTGGAGAGAGTAAAAATTTAGGCAGAATGAAATAATAAGAAAAAATAATTATACAAATTTGTGTTTTTTGAAGGAAAAAGAGACACAATAAGAGTAAATGGAGTTTTCAGCCCAAAATTGGAGAAGAAATTGCTACAATTAGGGATGGAAAAATAGAGCAGGTTGTTTGAAGAACTGTATACCAAAGTAGACCCTACCGTTTGGTATGGACCGTAGATGGTTAAGAATGGTTTCGTCTAGGCTATGGTATGTACTATAGGATGTATTGATTTCTTTGTCTGGTCTAATCTAAACTGCGGTTTAACATACCAAATCGTGGACCCAACCCATTTTTCAATTGGTGTTTGCAACTCACTCGACCATTCTTCTAACTCTTCAACGAGACCCAAGTCTCAACCCTAATTTTGCGAATCTCATTCCTTCCTTCATTCATAAATCATAAACATTTCGTACATAGTACAGACAATTGTATCGCCATATGACTTTATGTTTATATTTATGACGTTATGGTGCAAGTTGGATTGCTCTAACTTTGTGTTTTCGTTATGTACTTGCATTTATGGTATCAAAATTATGTATACGACTTGGAATTTATGTTTTAAACGAATAAGTAGATTTTTTCTTGATTATTGGTCCATTTTTTTGTCGAAGTGTTCCAACTGAGTGGTTACCATGGTAATCATTTAATCGGTAGATTTGGATAATTTAGTTTAATTAATTGGCTTGGTTTGGTTAAATTTTTTGCTTGTCTGATTTAGATGGTTTGATTTGGTTTCAGACACTACTAATCATTCAAACCAATTAACCAATTAGAGAAGTAGCAATATATTATTATTATTATTATTATTATTATTATTATATTTTATTTTATTATTAAAAGGACAATCACTTTTTCACTATTCATTAACAAAAAAAGATGCTATTCATAATGGGGTTTATACCATATACCCAATTTTACCATAATCTCTTTTTTTTCTGCAATACTATTCATATGAGTTTTATTCCCTATAACCACTTCTACGATAAGTATAAAAATCATATGATATTCTATTAAAAGTTTTTCTCTAAATTCAACTTAACATTATACAAAGATTTTGTAGATTGGTTATTAAATATACAATTATGTTTATGCAGAGCTGGTGAGTAGGAGTTCTGCACTGAGTCAAGTATGGGGGATGTAGTTTTGACGAGGGAGGCAAGCGTTTGGCAAAGATGAAAGGAGAGAGATCTTAGAGAGAAAATGAGAAAATGACTATTATCCTCTTTTCAAGATTACTTTCTTCGGTGGAGTAAATGGTAAATTTATAGTAGTTACATGTTAGGTAGAAAAAGGTGACATGACTCGTCTGTCAGAGCAGGTATGCGTCTTCCCGAGGCACTCCTTGGGCGGCGAGTGAAGGAAGTATTGGGCAGCGAGTGGGAAATGAGCATGCCAACCTCGCTGAGAGCGCTCACCCCAACAATTGCCCCCCAGCAGGAGCTGAGCTGCGGTTGCCTCATGCGCTTGACTTGGCCGGTCGTTGGCTAGGTCTCTGGTCTCCATTTGGCCTTTGTGAGCTTTGCCGCGTTGGACTCGCGTCATCGTGGTTGGATTTGATTGATGAGAGGTAACCCCAAACCGGTGTCGCGCTAGGACTTGGATTCCTTTCTTACTTCTTCTTGAACCGCTTCCTTTTTGCCGCGATTGTATTGATGCCCCCCAACCGCGCCCGATGGAAAATTTTACTTGCCCTTCCTTGTCGTATCGCGGTATTGGCGGGGTAGGGTTGCCCCCCAACCGACGTCGCGTTGGGGAACGGGGGGTCGGTTCTTTCTCATTATGCCACGTGGCGGGTTTGAGATCGCTTTTTTAGGCGGTGGATTTGAATTTCGAATTTCAAATTAACATGACGTGCTGGCGCAGGTTTCGAAGGGTCGTGTGTCGATTGGCTCTCCTGGCGGTTACACTCAACTTTAAAAGGGCGAAGATGGTGAGTGTTTTCACTCACCAAGTTTCTCTCTTTCTCCATTTTGCTTGTCTTCGACTTCGATCATCGTCCGCAAATCGCTGCTTCCTCTTCTCAAATTGTCTTCTGCAAAAGCTGGCGGCCAGGCTGTGATCGAGCTAGACGATGGAGGTAATGGTTTTTCTGAATCCTGTGTAGATGCTAGGAATGTAGATTTAGGAGTAGAAACTTCGTCCCTACCCAGCACTCCTGGGTTTGATCCGACTGGCAGCAGCGAGTTCCTCCGCAGCTCCTCCGCCGGTTTGGCCGGTCGTACCGGCGGTGAAGAAAGTCTCTGGGACGGTGGGCTCCGGGATGTGGACTCCGGTGTGGCTCGTCGGGAGGGGAAGGAGCCTATGGTGGAAGAGAGTTCCAGCCAAGAGTGGGCCGTGGATGAAGGTGCGGCGGGAGGCGAGATGGAGACAGACAGCTCCCTTACATTGTCTGAGGCGGACGTGGAGGTTGAGCCCTTCTTCCTTGCGGAGCCACACCTTCTTGTCTCCCTTGCTCGAGTCACGGAAGCTTTTGCGTCGTGTGGTGCGCGCGGACTAGGCGTGAAGTACAACATAATCGGGTGGGCGGACATGTTCCCCGACGACGATGTTCCCTAGGAGCATTTGGAGCGAGGGCCAGATCACCCCTCGATTCTCAGCTGCGAAGATGTGGAGATGTACGTGCGCGGGCTTGGGTTGCCGCCAAACTGGCAGTACGCGGTGCCTTCCGAGTTCAGCCGCGTTGGCAACTGTCCAGATGGCTGGTTTGACGTCTACACAGAGTATTGGCGCATGGGGTTCAAGTTTCCCATTGAGCCTCTACTCTGTCATCTATACAGCTTGGTGAAGTGCTCTCTTGCACGCGTTTCGCCCTCTGTGATCTTCCACACATGCGCGCTGCGGGCTATGTGCAAACGGTGGAACCTGCTTCCCACCTATGGCTTGTTCCGCCATATATACATATTGAAGGTTCCCCGGCTGACCGGTCCAAAGAGGGGAAATGGTTTATCCATCAAAAGGCGCGATAACAAACCCGAGGGGTATGTTTACGGGTCGCCGAAGCTGGAGAAAAACTGGTTCGAGAAATTTTTTTTACGTTCGACCAGTCCCTGGCGAGATGACCGCCGTACCAGTAGAGTTTCTACACGCCTTGTCGAACAGGAATGTGAAGGATTACGAGTCCAATTTGGGGAAGTATCCGCTTCTGCAGAGGCATTATGATCTGTTGATGCTGGAGAGGGTCAACCTTCATGAGAAGGGCACGCGCGAAGCCGTGCTTTGCGAGCTTTTTGTTGATGGTTAGTGTTTTTTCATGTTTCATATATTTCCTCTTTTGTATTAATCGGATCCTTACGCCTCTTTGTTGTAGGAGTGGATTATAATACTGTTGCCTCCATGATAATGGTTACTGAGGAGCCTCCTGCGCGGAAGTGAAAGGCTGGCGGCGCCGATCGGAACCCTCAGCCCGCGAAGGTCACTCGCGCAGACCTTCTGAGTCGAGTGGATGCGCGGCCTATGATTGCCGCAAAGAAGCCACCCTGTTCCGATAGGGGGTCTAGCGGAAGTGGAGGAAATTCGAGTTCCCGTCCGACGCAGCAAACCTTGCCGGACATGGCGGTCTTTCAGGAAGCTTCCGCGTTGCAATATCGCGACTTGTGTATTCCCGCTGCCGCCGCGCAAAACCTTCCAGCTGCCCAGTTGGGTCTCAAGGCGATAGGTGGTGCGCTCAGCCTGCCTGAGTGAATGGAGAGCGGCGACCCTTTCGCGGACCTCGCGCTCACCCATTTCCACGTACTGTCGTCTGCTTTAGTTCTATTTGTCTAAGTTTTCACGTGGGGATCTACTCCATTTTTCTTCTACAGTTGTCTGACTTTGGTTTAAATCCCTGTAGTCGCTGCTGGCGTGCCATCGCGCACTGAAGGACAGAGCCGAGACAATGGATCGGTTGGGCTCGGAGCAGGCTCAGGTCGTTCAACTCCAAGGGCGCGTGACTAACGCCGAGAAGAGGTTTGCTCATGCCAAGGAGAAGTGCAAGGATGCCTTGCCTCGTGCTGATGAGCTGAGCAGGAAGCTAACAGATGACCTTGCTGCTGAGCAGGAGAAGGTGCGGTTGGAAGAACGGGCCGCGATTCGTGCTGAGCTGGAGAAAGATTTTGAAGAAGAGAGGAAGACCTTCATCGATGAGCTGGACTCGAATCGAGAGAAGGCTGAAGCTGAGAAGGATGAGCTGAAGAAGAAGATTGAAGAGCCCAAAGAGAAGGCGGACGCCGACAAGACGGCTATCGCGACGGAGGCCTTCGGAGCCTATAAGAAGTCTGTTGCTTTCAAACAGCAACTGGCCGACTGCATGTACCGCACCATTGTGGCGGTACGGAAGAAGGTGAGGCCTGACAACCCAGGCTGCCACTGGAACACCAAATATATTGTGCGTCACGTCTAGCGTTTTTTTGTGGACAAGAAGCCTCTTGTCGCGGACTCCGAGATTGAGACGGAAGAAGAAGGGGCGGTCGGCGCCAGTAGCCAACCGGCTCACCTTGAATAGTTTTGGTTTGCCTCTCGTTTCTCGAAGCTTATGACCATTATTCTCTTCTGAGTTTTTTTGCGAATTTTATCAATGAAGGCTTTGCGCAGTTTGCCCGATATTGTGTCGTTTCCAGTATTTCAATTTTTGAGGTTTGCCCAGTATTGTACGTAATATGTGGACGTTTCTCGCTAGATCGGTTTGAAGAGGCGAATTCGCGCTTGTTATGTTTGTGTCCTCGCGTTTTACGCGGGTTTAAGAGGCGAATTCGTGCTTGTACTTTTTTGCAGGGCCTCGCAATTTTATGCGGTTCAGGGGGCGGATTCGCGTTCGTAATGATTTCGTAAAACATATAAGTTACATATAGAACATGTATCCTTGAAGTTATCCCGATGCCTTTCAAAATTCCTTCTAACTCGGGAAATACGGTACAATATGTTACACAGGTAAGGCGGGGTGATACAGACGAAGGTTCTGTGCGTTCCAAGTTCTTGGGACCTTTGTTCCGCTTAGCTCAGCGAGCTTGAACGTGTTTGCGCCTACTACCTCGCGAATCTGGTAGAGGCCCTCCCATGGCGCTGCTATCTTTCCATGCCTTTTATCTGGCCTGAAATTCCGCTTGAGTACTTGGTCTCCCTGCCGCAAGCTGTGTGGACGCAACTTCGCATTGTAGTACTTCGCTACTTGGGCCTTCCCCGCCGCTAAGCATATAGTGGCTTGCTCTCGTCGTTTCGTCGCCAGATCCAGGTCCAACTGCCGCGCCATTGAGTTGTCCTCCTCGTTGTATAACTCCACTTGGACAGCTGGGGCATTGACTTCAATTGGGATCACTGCCTCCGTTCCGTACGTTAGGGCAAATGGGGTGTCGCCTGTAGCAGTTTTGTACGTCGTCCGATGCGCCCATAGTACACTGTGTAGTTCTTCCGGCCAGTTGCCTTTCGCGTCGTCTAGCCTGGTGTGAAGCCCATGCAATATTGTTTTGTTGGCCGCATCAGCTTGTTCGTTGGCCTGGTGATAGGCAACGAAGGCGAAACGCGCTATAGTGCCTACTTGATCGTACAGGTCGATTACCTCCACGCAATCAAATTGCGTCCCGTGGTCGAAAATGAAAAACTGCGGCGGGCCAAATCTCGAAAGTATGTTTTTGAGTGAGGAATCGCGTGACTCCGCCTAGATCCACTTGGTGAAGTAGTCGACTGCGACGATGAGGTATTTCCGTTTGCCTTTTGCGGTGGCAAAGGGGCCGAGGAGATCCACTCCCCACTGCGCAAATGGCCAAGGACTTATGTTGGACTGAAGTTCAGCCGCTGGTAAGTGGTGGAGTTTTGAATGTATTTGGCACTTGTGGCATCTGTCGACAAAGTCTCTGCGTCCTTCTTGATCCGAGGCCAGTATTAACTAAAACTCTTTTATTTTTAACATTTATTTGTAAATAATATGAACAATATCAAATTATTCCTTTAATATTAACCAAAATTCCATTATTGTTAACTAAAATATTTAATTGATCTAATCATACTTTACTTTCTAAAATTTGATTTATCACTAGACCACACATTATAAAAGATTTATGTAATAATGTTCTATCTTTATCTCCTACATCTAATTTTATCATAAGCTTTTGAACAGTTAACTTTGACATAACAATTTAATATTATGCTACTTTCCTATTACTTCCCTGTTATTCCTCAGAAGGAGGCTAAGATTTTTCAGAATCAGTCGGGGTCGTCTTCTTACTATAGCGCCGGTGATTGTTCCTCCAAAGGAGAAAGGGTCGTGCATAAAAACTAGTGTTTTCTTCTTTCTCGTCTTCCTCCTTTCAAAATCCATCTCTGGCGACAAAGGTAGGGAGGGAGGCAAGTAGTCGAACACTGGGACATTATTGTCGTCTTCAACATTGTCATCTTCAGCCATCTGGGTTTCTTCAAATCCCTAATATCCAATTGATAGCTTCATCCAATTCATTATTCCCATTGAGTGTGTGTGATTTTTTTTTTCTTTTTGTGGCCTCAACTGGTTCTGGGTGTGTCGATGGGAAGGTTGACCGTCAACGACAATTCCGAGATGAAGCTAAAGGGGGTGGTGGCAGATTAATTAAATATAATCTTAGAAGTTTAATTAATTAACCATTGCGATGGCTCTGTTAGGGAAACAATAATTCCTTTTTTTTATGTAGAACAATTCCAACTTACTAAGAGCATCTCATTAATGCAATTGTATTTGAAATTGCATTTGTTTTTTATTGTTACTTATTTTTTTTTTCAATCCAACTCATCGTACTTGTATTGCACCACATCAATGCAATTAACTTGCAATTGCAACTAATTTTTTAAATTAATTTATTAAAACATAAACACTCAAATTATAAAATTAATGAATAATTTAATAATAAAAAAGATGACATGGCTTGCATTCCATAATTGCATTATATGCAAGCTTGGAAAGATGCAATTGTTATCTACGTACATCAATCCAATTGCAAATGAATGCCATGTCATAATGCAATTCTAAATGTAATTCCAATGGAGATGCTCTAAGCTTTAAAATGGAAATTGGTCTGCGGCACACAAAATATATATATTTTTAATTTAAATTGTGACATGGTTTCCATGTGGCATGTCGAGTCAATGTGGACATGACATGTCGTCCAGATTTCAGCCACATAAGTCTAACGTTCATTTAACTGAATGAGTCATTGACGGTGTTAAATTATTCGACGGAAAAGACTAAATTACTCAAACAAGTTTGAAAAATGTGGCTATACCTGGTTTTCTCTCTCCAAAAGTGGCTATTATTGTCAAAACGCGAAAGTTATGACTATATAGGTATATTTTTCCTAAATTAAATTACAAGGACCAGCTTATCAAATATATTTAAGTTCTACTCAAGTTAAAAGTAACTCAAGATCTACAATTATAGTTAATTGTTGTGGTCATAGTTTATTTAACAAATTTGAATTAATCAGCACGTTTCAAAGTGGCAATATACCAAAAAAAGGAGCTATTAAGCACAAATTTTCATGCTAATCTACACTACTTATAATACATTTTAAATAGTTTGATTTGCTCCATTTAAAATTTCCTACAACGAGAGTGAAAGTAGGAAGGGTATTTTCATCTACACAATCAATTAAAGAAATGTAACAAATTAGACTAGACACATTTGTTGTACTTCATAAATACAAAACATAGAGGAAGTTAAAATTATGAAAAACATAGTACTTTTCTATCACGGTTAGTTAGTCCGCTAAGTCTCCTGTATGTATTTTGTGCTGTTTGATAATTCTATTTTCATATTTTAATAATTAATTTAGAATTTTTTCTAACTTATAAATGAAGGATAATCTTAAAATCTCAACACAAATATCACTGGTTGGAATATTGCGCATTGAATTGAAGTGTTCAATGACGACATAAGAACACTGGTACCATACATTTCAAGAAAAATAAACATGAAAAACAACGATACCAATTATCTCGACAGTCTATGCTAAAATTTAAATTTGTTTAATCATTCAATTTGAGTGATAGTTTAGTCAAATCAATCAAATAATTCACGATTGTGTATGAACAAAAATAAAAACATATGTATTGTATTATTAAAAATGTATTTATTTTAACAATCTAAAAAATCAATCAAGACTTCCATATACAACCCCTTATTTCCGCATTGTAATTAATGAAACAATTTTTATCAACATGATGCAATGTTCAAGCTATGGTCCAATTATTAATCACCAGTATATAGTATTCAGCGTACTAAACTATTTCAATATCCACAGCTAACTATTAATGATTACTTGCTTTCTGTTTGAGGGTTTAATGTAACACTCTCATGCCTACACTCTAAGCAATTTTTTTCCTTTTTCCAATATTTTTTGCAGTTATTTGTTAAATCAACTATGTTTCTAGCTTTCCATTCCTAATTATGCACTGCTTCCTACCAACTTATAGGAATGATGAATAATTTTTCATGTATAATCTATTGACTATAAATGTTGCTTATTACTTAAATTCAACGGTATCCATGTTAGGTTTGATGTCTCCAACATATTCTCACAATTTCTCGAAAAAACACCATATCTTGCGATTGATATCATAGTTTTGTTAGGTAAAGTTCAACAAACTCAATCAATAATTCGAACTCTTTGAAGTATCTATCTACATACATGTGAATATGAAGTACTGAGTAGCTAAAACTCTACTTGAGTTAGTACGATCTTTTGCACTATCAATTAAAATTTAATACATGATTATCTTATTACAATTTAGTCATACTAATTGTGCAGTAGGGGACATTTATCAAAATCATATCGAAAGACTCCTTGATTGATCAATTTCAGGATGTAATCAATTATACCAAATGAAGTAACAGTTTTGAAGCACTTCCATACTTCAGTTCAAATGATTTAACAACAAGCAAAATAACTCTCAAGTTTATAATTTTTTAATACCAAATGGTATAATTAATTCATTTATGAGCAGAAATAGCTAACTATAAGCACTTAAATTTTTAAATTAAAACTCATATGATACAATTGTTTGACGAAATGGTTTTTATCATAGAGTGGTTCTATCGAGAGAGGTCTCTAAGAAACATGGCTTACTTTATTATTCCTTAGGTTGATATAATATATATATCTTCATCGTTACTTTTACATTGGATTCAATTTAGTATACTTTTTCGTTTAGATAGTTTTTATAATGATTTTTTGGGATAATATATAATTATTGTATGATGGTGTAGGATATTAGTTCCTCTCATTTTAGGTTCAAATTGATGCATTGTCCCCTTTCTCATTCCCTTTTATCGGTTAATAATTTTTATGATATTTTTCACTATGAAATATCGTGAGCAGAATCTATACACAACAATTTGTGTTTTTTTTTTCGCTTCCTCTTCTCCTGATTAGATATTGT